CCCCCCCGCCCCGAGCTCGGCAACCTAGGCCCCGAGAGTGGTGTGTGGGGTCTGCGTGGGGCTGGATGCCACGCTTAGCCCTTGGCCCTCAGCCAGCAGCTGTGAGATGGATGGACAGATGGATGGATGGACAGATAGATGGGCCGGGAGAAAATGAGTGCCACACATAGCAGGCTCTGGAGTCAGAAGGCCGGACTTGAGAGCCAGACAAAGACACCTGGGAGTCTGGACTCTGAGCCTCAGTTCCCTCTGCTGTAAAACGAGGTGGTGAAGAACGCCTACATCATAGGGTTGTTGGCTGTCCTCACCATCCTTGTCCAGACACCTCTGGGCAAGTCTCTTCCTGACCCCTGAGCCTCGGTTTCCCTGCGGGAATCGGGAAGTTTCCCTGCCTGTAAGACAAGGGAAACCAGACCTGGAGGCGGCCACAAAGTGCTGACGATGTTCTAAGAATGCTATAGTCGCAGGCTGCTTTTTCGGGCTGGCCTGACTTGAAGACCTGTCTTCCTCCCTAAGGATCTGCGGGCCTTCATTTCACTTCAAATTCCTCCCTTCTCCCACCTCCGTCTGTCCTGAGCTCCTAAGCTAAAATAAACCGCGGCTCGAGGATTCTCTGGGTAGTGGTGTATCTCACACGTTGTCATCACAGAAACGCTCCTATTAGCACAAACGACTACTCACTACGATCAACTTCAAAGGGAGGAGGCACTTGCTGGAAAGGGGGAGGGCAGGAAGCCACCTCTCCCTCCCCTCGTCCCACCTCAGCGGCCCCTGGAGCGCCACCCCCACCCCGCCCCCCGCACTACATGTCCCCACACACTGCATCTTTGGTTGCTTCCACTTGCCTGACCAGCACCACCGATGAGGCCCCCCTGACCGTCCCCTCCAGGTGGGTTTCAAAGCTGACACCAGCCAGTCTCCAGGCCTCCCCCACCCCAGAGACGGTCTGCAGGGCAAGGGCAAAGCTCCACACTCTGACACCCGAGCTGGCGGAGGCCTCTGGCCACCGTGGGCTCCACAGGGGATGGACAAGGACTGTTCTTGCCCAAGTGTTCAGGTAAATAATATAATTAACAGCAATAATAAACCCCAGGATTTATTGAGCACTTCCTATGAGCCAAGTGCTTCACGTGCTCTATCTCGCTCGATTCTCTCCATCATCTATAAAGAAGATACTGTTTATCATCCCCCCCCCGCCCCTTTACAGAGGAGGGTCAGAAAAGTTCGCTACAGGAACTAGCCCAAGGTCACACAGCCTATAATAAAAGGCACAGCTGGGACTTGAATCCAGATCACCTGGTTCCAGGGTCTCTGTTCTTAACACTATGCTATCCGGAGCTGGAGCCCCTCAGCCTCGTTGGTAAGTGGGGTGGAGAGACATCCAGAATCCAGGGGAGAGGAGCTAGGGGCCAGAGGAACGAATGCAGCCCAAGGCCAAGCTGGAAGGACCCTGCCAGCTGGCCGCCGCGAGATCCCTTTATTACATAAACCTGGCTCCACGCAGCTCCGGCCTCTCCCCAATACCCCCCACCCCCCGTTGCCTGACTCAGGACTCTGGACAGCTGTTCACCTACTTTGTGGGGGAAACAGCAAGCTCGGAAAATATGACATTTGCACAAAATGTTGCCGGGCAGCCGGAGTCTCTTCCGGGCATGGCCCTCCCCTCCCGGGGACCCAATCCCTGCCGGCGGCCAGGTCAGGCCACAGGGGCTCTGGGAGTGCCCTGCTGCCCGCCCCGGCACACGGGCATGCATGGAGGAGGGGAAGAGCCGCTATTTTAGGAGGCCTTGTGGCTGTTTGACAAACAGATGTGGGAGAGGTTTCAGTTTCCCCGGACAGCTGTGTAGCCAGGCCACTGCTGCTCTGGCCCCCTGGCCGGGTCCTCGGGGAGGGCAGGGAAGAACAGGATCTCACGGCAAGTGGGGGGAAGCCGTGGCCTTCATGCCTCCTCTCAACAGATCCTGGTATAACCACTGTACAAATCAGGACGACTGAGGCTTACTGAACCAACGTGATTCATTCCAATTCTGCCCCCCGCCCCCGTGGGAGACAAAGGGTCACCGTCCCACATTCCTGCCTCTGAGCCCTTCCTAACCCTTACAAAACTTCAAATGTCAGTCTTCCCAGCCTGGAGAGAATTTGCCAATGATGGGCTCCATTCTACTGAGAGGAAAACTGAGGCACTGAGTTCCAATTAGGGGCATGGCTGTCTCCTAGCCCTGAGTTCTCAGGTCTCTTCTGCCCTTCCTTGTCCCCCCACCCCCACCCCCCACCGCCCGCACAAAGAGAAGGGAGGATTACCTTCAGGAGCTCCTTGGGTGGAAGCCAGGTGACAGGCAAATGAGACTAAGATCCAGGTGAAGAGAAACCCCCTAGAGACGGGAAGACACAAGCAGAGGCGGTTATCAGCTTCTACCCTGGGGCCCAGATCTGCCTGGACACTGGGAGGGGACCACCCAGTACCCCCCACCCCTGCCCCGGCCAGGCTCGCCCGCAGAAGGCGGGGGCCAGGGGCAGGCTCTAGGACCCCAGAGGGTAGCCCACGCTCCTGGGGTTTCCAGGTGCAACCTCTAGGGGCAGGACCTGCTCAGGCAGCACAAGTCACAAGTACAAACGCTGTTTTTTACAGATCGATAAACCAAGGTCACAGGGCAGGGAACAGTGGGCAGAATGCCCTGGGCATCAGGAGACCTGGGGTCCAGCTTCAAATCGGCCGCTGACTCGCTGGTCAACAAGGGGCCAGCCCCTCCCCATCTCTGGGCCTCAGCCCCCCATCTGTACTATGGCCTCACAATCCTAAGGCCCAGTGGACAGCAGAGCCAGGACTGAAAGGTCAGTGGGAAGACCACACTGGTCCACGTGGATGACGGACATCCTCAAAGGACAGAAGCGACGAGAACTCCCTCTCTAGACACAAGGTGGAGGGGGAGAAGGCCCCTTAACCAGGACCAGTGCGTGCTAAGGAAGCTGCCTACTGGGCTTCACGCTGCCAGAGAAAGGGAGTGGAGAAAACAGAGAACACAATGGGGTGTCAGGCAGACCCAGGCACAAACCCGGCCCTGTTGCCTACCAGCTGTGTGACCCTGGATGAGTCACTCAGCCTCCCTGAGCCTGCCTCAGGCTCTGCAGCGCGGCCGACACTCCCTATCTTACCGGCCAGGCGTGAGGATTAAATGAGCTCATGCCTGTCAAGGGCTCGGCCTGGTGCCAGCCACAGAAGTGCTCCTTCGGCATCACGGCTGCCCGTGAACTCTGGGGCCTGGAAGGGTTAATGCTCTGCTCCACGGCTCCTGCCAAGATGGGCAGAGGCAGTGATCCGATTTCACCTTCCTGTGGGAGCAACCACCGGCGACACCCGAAGCCACCCGGGGCATCTGATCCCCAAGCGGGCAGAGGGGAGGGCGGCACGTGGCCAAAGCCAGCCGGCCAGGATGCAGGCAGAGAAAACCGAGACCGGCGGGCGGTGCGGGCTAAGGCTGGGACACACAGGCCCAGGATCCATTTCCAAGAGGAAAGCTAGAATGGTGTGCTTCTGGGGAATCACGTAATCCAGGAAACCCGTCTGCTGTAATTGATGTCTGGCACCCCACGTTCTTCCCAGCTCCCTAGGCGCCCTAGAAAACCAGCTCACACCCTCTGATTTAATGGCAATTACTCCAACTTAATTGCAATTATAATCAATAGTGATCCTGACTGGGCACCGTGGAAGACACTGGTGATTACCTACCCACAGCCATTCCCCTGCCCTTCTTGTTCAGGGAGGCACAGACTTCAGAGGATACTGGATGAATCCGGATAAGCCTAAGCCAATCTTGGGGATTTCATCTGCCATGCCAGTGACCGGTTTAGGCATGCATACATGACCCAAACATGGTCAGTAAGATGTAAGGGATGCCTCTTAGGGCCCCTGGGAAAGTATTTCAAAGGGACAGAGAGAAGGTTTTCTTCTAGCCTTTGTATGTTATTGAGCGAGGATGTGTTGCTGCTGCAGCCATTTTGTGCCCATGAGGTTAACAAGCTCCATGAGCACGTGAGGGTGACAGAATGGAAAAACAGTGCATATTTGATGACACTTGAGATGCTGAATTAGCAAACCCTATCACTGTCTTTCCTTCAGACCTCTTGATATGGGAGATAATAACTCCCTTTGTGTAAGCCACGTCGAATTGGGTCTTCAGTTACCCACAGCATAAGGCAAACTAGCTGCAAAAGCACTCAGATGCTGAGGGTGGTCCCTCGAAAGCCTTCTCCGGAATCTGGGCCCTTGCACATGCTGCTCCCAAGTGCTCCTGACACCACTCTTTTGCCTGGTCAGTTCCCACACACACGGTAGATTCCAGCTTGGGCGTCACCTCCCACAGCCCACTGCGAGTACCTCACCACAGCAGGTTTCGCACGTGAGCCCACTGCCTATTTTCCTATTTCCCTTTCTAGAACAAGTCCCTGAAGGGTAGGAAACACATCTGTCTTGTTCACGTGTATTCCCAGCACCTGGCACACATGTTGTAAACGTTCAGTGTATCTTTGTAGAAGAAATAAATGGTACCTGGTATTACAGGACTCTGGACTTTAAAAGCATCTCCCCAAAGGCCCTCTCTACCTCTGACTTTTTTCCAGGGTTGCTCCTGGATAATCCTCAGCTCCCCCTCATCCTCTCCAATCTGCTGCCACTGCTGTGAAAATGTCCTTTTTCACGGGGCCAGTCCTCCCTGCCGCCACGGGCCTCGCCTCCAGCTCACCGCTAGCAATGACTAAAGGTCAGAGCGCCTAGCTGGCCTGGCGTTGCCTGGGGAGAAGAGCAGAAGTTGACCCTTCTGGCATGACCTGCCCACTTGAAGCCATGGCAGCCTCATCAGCCCTGAAAAGAAACGACAGGAGGCTTTGTTTGATGTGACAAAAACTGAGGCTTAGGGAGGGCAGGTACCTCCTCAAGGTCACCCTGGGTAGGCTCTGGGGTCATAACTCTTCAGTACTATTTCCCACGTGCACCAGGTAGACACTCCAGGAAACTGGAGCCAGACCAACCGGGGAAGAGCTATCCCAGTCGTGACAATTCCCAAAGCACAACTAAACAACTAACTGCCTAACAAAGGGTCTGAGAAGTCCTGCAATGAAGACATGGACAGGGCTTTCTGTCTATCGGCAGTCCCCAGACTTAGAGGACCAGTGAACTCCTTTTCCCTGGGAACGCCTGCTCTGAAGACACTGCGCCTCACTTCCCAGTGTCCCAACAACCTCGTTTCTGTCCCATCTCCTCCATCCTCTCTTCCCGGCCCCTTCCAGGCACAAGCCCTCACTCCTTGAATGTCTCGCTGTATGATGTCACGTCCACGCTGCTGAGGATGCTTCCCAAGCTGATAGAGAGAGAGCAGGTGGAGAGGAGAAGGTGTAAGAACCATACATGTCCTTAGTCGATTTTTCTGGCTGCGGTTAGGCCAAGGTGACCACTCTGGAGAGAATAAGGATACACTTGGGGGAAATATTTTTAATCCCTGAAGGTCAGGAGAAAGAAGACTCACAGGACGATGGGATCAGAATCTTTGCTTCAATTAAGTTTCCCACCACCATGGCTTCCAACTCAAGAATTTCAGCCCTGAAGGCCTGTTACCAATGTATTTGCCCCTCCATTCATTCACCATGACACCTTCTCAGACCTGAATTCTGTGTGCACTTGACTCATATCCTGCCAAAGCAAAGAGTGGGAATATACAGCGGGAGAAGGTCCTCTGAGATCAGCTAGAGGCCAGATTCCAGTCCCATCCCCTCATTGTGGAGATGGGCAACTGAGGCCCAGAGAGGGAAAGTGACTTGTCTAAAGCCACACAGCATGTCAGTGACCCACATCATCCGACTCTACTACTTAGCAAACAGTCCTTTCCACTTGACTTGTCTCTCGTGGAGAAGAAATTGGACACTTACAGGGGCTTCCTATCTGCCAGAGACGGGAGTCCAGCCTTTACCAACAGGAAGAGAGACACGCGGCCTAGGGAGCCAACAAGCCATCTAAAGTGAGCTCCAGGCCTGGAAAGTTGGCTCCCGGAGGGAGGCCCTGCTGACTCTTTTGCCCCCGTTCCAACGCTGTTTAGGCTACTGCTAATAACGTTTAGTGCCTGTGTTGGCTCAGAGCTTTGTTCTTCCCGACTTCTGTTTTCACCACTGACTCGTGGGCTTTGGCTCAGGGAACCCAGGGCTCCAGAATGTCGGGAAGACCAGAGCAGACAGGAGGCAGCTGAGATGGCAGCTACCTAAGCGTTAGGGAACCTGACCTTGGGGGCACAGCCTGGCCACACAGCCCTCCAGGAAGGGAACCCAGGTGTTCCTACCCCTGCAAAGGGCCCTCTGCCCGCACACCAAATGTGGCTACTCTGGGACCACCAGAACCTACAGCTGCTATGCTTGGTGGGAACACACAGGATCGTAAGAGACCCATACCAACTTGAACGTCCACCAAGAGCTCAGAGCTGAGACCCAGGGCACCATAAAACACACAAGGAAAGCAGCCCTGTGGACTCCCGGCTTGGCTGTGCGCTCAAGGGACAAGCTGGGCAGGCAGCTGGCCTCAGGACCGCAGAACAGCAAAAGGGGGACGGGCCTGTCCCATCTGCCTCCGTGGACCGGCCAGGCCACCTTGTGCCCAGACAGCTGCACCCAGGCTCCTCTCTTCACACCTGATACCTCTTCCATGGGAACACAGACAGGTCATCTGTCCAGACAGGATACAGCCCAGAATTTTCAGTTGACTCACACATCCATTCAAGATGAAGTGAATAATAATACAAATAATGGTGGCCATTTATTGACCATTTACTACATGCCAGGCACTGTTCTAAGCCCTTTACGAGCATGGTCCTCCATTAAACCTCACTAAACCTTGTGAGCTGAGAATTAAGCTGCCCCTTTTTCGGATCAGAAAGAAGGGAGCACAGAGGCGGGGGGGGCCTGCCCAAGCTCCCACGGCAGTCAGGATTCACACCGTCTGATCCCAGGGCTCCTTCCGCCCTGCAACCTGCCACCCACCGGGCCAGGCTGCGGGATACCAAGAGGGTCCCCTGGACACAGAGCGGGGAAAGGAGAATATGCCACCAAAGTAACAGGCAGAATGTGCTCAGACAGAGACAGGGAGTGGGTGACATAGGGAGGGCAGGCCCCCAGCCAGTGCACCCCACCAGGGGAGCTGATGGCCATTGAGGTGAGACCTGAGGGGCAGCAGCGCATGTGAAAGCCCCAGGACGGGGAGCGTTCCAAGTACAGGGAGGAGAGGGAAGGAGAGACGAGACCAGCGATGTGCTCCATAGTGTCATGGAGCCTGGTCTGGGAGAGGTAAAGAGGAGCAAGGCTGCAAGGCACGCCAGGACCAGAGGGCACAGGATCTGGGGCACTGCTGTGGTGAGGGAGGCAGCGAGACTGGGCAAGGCAGAGGCCGGGCCTCAAAGCAGCGTGACTGCCCATTTGCCCAAAGCTCGGGCCCCACTATGGGGTGCTCTCCTGGCACCACTTCTCTGCCCAACCACTGGCATCTGCCTTGGCACAGGGTCTTCTGGAGAAAATGAGTCAGCAGTGTGCTTACTGGTGCTGTGTGTGTGTGTGTGTGTGTGTGTGTTGTGGTGGGGGGTGGGGGAATCTCAGCCAGGCAGCTTTTTCCAAGACATGGGAAAGGGGGGGGGGGCATCGTCCCCCTGATTCCAGCTCAGAGGGGGCAGGGCATGGTGGAGCAGGGCGGAGCTACAGCCCTGACCAGCCTCTTGGGAATGTCCTCTGATTCTGGGGGCAGGATGGAAAAGGAGCAAGTCCTGCGCTTCTCTGGGCAGCGAGCATGAGCCACAGCGCACAGGGCCCTGAGGGCTGCTCCCACCCTTTCTCACTCCCACACACACCCACACTCAGCGACTCGCTCTTGCACACGCTCACTCTTTACAACTACCCCACCAGCCCCTGGGTCCCAGCTCCTCCGCAGTCCCTCCTTGGAGATTCCCTGCCCCTCCCTGGCCCCCAGTCTCTGCCTCTGTGCAATGACTCGGTTGTCTTCAGGGCCCTTTCTATTCTGACATGCTGGCTCTCACTTTTTCTCTCTCACACACGAAAAATGACAGGAACTGAGACACACACACACACCCCCCCCCAGCCCCCAGAGAAGCGGGGAAACACTGAGACGCGCAGACCCAAACAGACCGACACACACGAGGAGACTTCCAGAAGCAGGGGACGTGCAAAGCCACACAGACGCTGAGACAGGAGAAGCCGAGAGCCGGAGACCTAGACGCTTGCGGATAGTTTCACGAGAACACACTGACTTACAAGCTCGGGACCTGTAGACACCGACCCCGGAACACACCGAGACAGCCAGAAACGGACACCCTTCCTCCCCCAAGCGTCCCCAAAGCCCCCTCCGCCCGCAGCCCGCCGCCCCAGGCGCCACCACCCACCCCCAATCCCGACCCCCAGGGCTGGCTCCGCACGGACCCTCCCCAGCACGGCCCCCGCCCCAACGCGACCGCGGAGCCGGGCCAGCGGGGCAGGGCAGGCAGCGCTCGCCAAGCCTCGCCGGGCCGGGGGCGCAGCCCGCGTTAACCCTTGGCGGCCCGCCTCAGAGGGGCGCGGGAAGGGGCAGGAAGCCGACGTTCCGGGGAAGCGTCCGGCGCGGCGGGGAACCCCAGCCCTCCCCCCAACCCGGGCTGGAGCAGCAGGAAGCTGGGGAGGGGGCGTCCCCGAGCTCGTACTCACCCCCCGCGCGCCGCCGCCGCCGCCGCCGCTGTGCCTCGGGCCCCCCGCGCCGATCCCGCTCCCATGGCGGGCCCCTACTTCATGCTCCCGAGCCCGGGGGGCAAGTGT